AAAGCAGAGGTTCTGCTCCGTGTTCTTCATTTATAGTTTCGTTCTGTGAACTTAAACTCTTGCAAGCTTGAAGAGCAGAGAACAGGAGGCTGCTGATCAACCGCTGTCATAACTCTTACAAAACAGTTAGGAATCGGAACTCTTATTCCCATTTTTCTATCTAATCAGTACCTGCAAGGAAACTGTAGAAGAAACTGGGTAAGCATTTCAGAAGGCATATAGGGCGTGGGATTTTGTTTTAATGGCTGCCACCCTGTGGAAAGAGTATAGTTCACGAACATGGACATAACATCAATGATCTGTTTTCTTTTAAGTGCATTTCCGCTACATCGTCTTCCATCCCTTCCTGGATGAGATTCTGATTGGACAGATTAAAAGCTGCAGCCAGGATGGCGTTCATGGTAAACTGCAACTTCTAACGTTAGGGACACATGAGCTGCGGAGCTCTGGGGTCTTTTGGGATACTGTGGTTTCGAGTTGTACAGTGCTGTCTGTAGGCTGGTTAGAGACTGTTACCGGCCTCTAGTGCTGCTCTGACCTGGGGGTGGTTGGTAGTTTGAGCTTGGCAGCTTTCCCTGCCCTTGATGGTTTTGTCTGCACTCCCCTTTCCTTCTGTCATTCACGTGCATGCCCAAAGGAGAACAGGCAAGCCCATCTGGAGCGTAGACTGGATTCATTTTCTCGCTTCAGTTAACAGAACTTGTTTTTTTTTAAAAGTGGTAGTATCAGCTCGTGTTGGTCTGATATATCTTCCCTATAGTTCTGTGCAAATTCATGACCGTTTCCTGTACCTGAAAACACGGCAGGGAAACATCTATGTAAGCACAAAGTGCTGTCAGATTCATGGAATACATAATTGATGAGTTGCTTTCCTTTCTTGTAGGAGTCTTCCATGCAAGCGAGCTCCTCTGCTCAGTTGTTAAGTTAGGACAATAAGATTAGCTGCATAAGGCTGCATTTGTTGCTGAATTTAGGCATGTCCACTCTCTGATAAAATTCAACATCATGAAATCTCAAGGGGGAGGTGGGGGCTGTTGTAACTTTTCATTGGTCTTTATTTAACATGTTAAATCTGTGATTTCTAAGCTCTTTTCTGTCACAGACCTCTATAGCATCTGACTCATTTCTTGGAACGCTTTCATTTCCAATGCTGCTCCAAACAGCCTTTTCCTTTCCCAGCGGGCATGAAGACTGTGCCCTCTGTTGCTGTATGTACTTTCAGCTGGGAGGTTGCTTTGCTGCCAACCGAAATTGAGCGTTGTGGCTCAAAGAATAATTCCTGCACGATCTCAGATGTCCTTCCTGAAAGAGGAAGGAGAATGAGTCTAGAAATGCATTTTAGGAACTGCTGTGGTACATCATTTGCGAAGAATCATTTCAGTCTTAATCAAGTTCTTTTCTCCACAGTTTCTATTGGATTCTTCGATGATATTGTCATCCCACCAGAATCCCTGCAGCAGCCAGCTAAGTTGTATCCTTTGATCACCTTTGATAACTTTACTACTTCATTTCAAAAGATTGTGCAGTGCTGGCCCAACAGGCATTCACTACTGCAACAATGAAGGTGCTCAGTGGCAGAAGCTAAGCCGTTGTGTCGGGCAAGTCCCGCAGACTGTTATCACAGCTAGACAGGCCTCACGCTTATTAGGTTTTGCAGGATCATTGTGCCGGCTGATAGAAATGAATGGCAATGTCCCCCGAACAACCGCATCGTAATCCCTGCCTCTGGTCTTGGCTGCTGCTGAAGACAGAATGCCGGTTTTACCACATCATGTAATGTCTAGATAGATGGTGTGTCTAATATCCTTCCCTGTGGTAGGTGAGGTCTTCTTGGGTTTGAGGGGTTTTGTTTGGTTTGGGTTTTTTGGTGGTTTTTTTTGGGGGTGTGGGGGTAACCCCAACTCTGCCCAGCAGCATACACCTTGAAGCAGGAAAATAAGAAACAAGACGGGGGTCCTGGACTGCACAGATGATAACCTGGGACAGTGCACTGCAGTTTGAGAAATTGTGAAAAGGCTTTGAATTGAGTCTATTCTCAAAACTGTTTCCATCCTTAACCCTTGGCGTGGCCAGCGATGAAGCAGAGCAGGTGTGGGTGTGGGAATACGAGACGGAAGAAGGGGCCCATGACCTTTACATGGACATTGGGGAGGAGATCCGCTTCCGAGTTGTGGATGAAACGTTTGTCGATACATCACCCACAGGTCCGAGCTCTGCAGAGGCTTCCACTTCGAATGCCGCAGAAGAAGTCCAGAAGAAAGAGGCACCCTACACTCTTGTGGTAACTATGTGCATAATGCATACAGCCTTTTGAACGTTGTGGTTTATTCTATGTCTAAAATAGCATCCCTTTCCCAAGGAACTGATTGCTTTAAGCTGACTGAAGCAAACAGAGTCACAAAATGAAAGGAGTGGAAAAGGGGAGAAACGAGATTGTTCTTGTGGTCGCTCTGTGTTTGCTGTGTGTTTTCCTTGGAACACTTTGTGGTTGTTGGTGGAGTTCCCCCTGGGAGGCTGATTTAAAGCAGACTCTGGATGCAGGATCTGCAGGCAGGAGTGAACATACAAGGAGCATGGAGCTGGGAGAACCACATTAAGGTTTACACAGCAGCTAAACGGGCTTTCCCACGCAGTGTTTTGGCGTAAGACCCACCTGAGTACAATGGAAGAGAAAGATGGATCTAAACAGATGAAAGCTGTGTTTTCTCACAGCTGGAGTATGTTGGGACAGTCAGGAGGCGGAATGGGCAAGTGCTTGATTTTCAAGTGTTGAATGTTTGGTGTAGTGTTGACAAGGTTTAAAGGAGTCTGGGCAAGTGCTGGGCAGGGTCTGATAGGAAAAAAAGTGAGTACCTCATCCATAACTTGGAGGGAGAGATTTTATATTTTTATGTGTTTACTCCTGTATTCTCTATGCAGTTTAAAATTGCACGCTCTTTTCTTCTCTCTGTGAACAGGGATCAATCAGTGAGCCAGGCCTGGGCCTCCTGTCGTGGTGGACAAACAGTTAGCTGCAATCGGAGCCTGCTCTGCAGAAAGTCTTTCCGGTGGATGTTTGGGGGATTATGGGATCCTGCTGGTGCTCATTGCTCCTCTGAAGCTGAATGAGAAATTAGATCTGCCACTCTCTGTTTCCCCTTTAGCTTCCAACCTGCCAGATTGAGACAGTCGCTTTCAAGAAATGTCTTCACTGAGCTGTAGAAGTGAATTTACAGACAACAAAAAGCCTTGAGCGCAGCAGCAACAAACTCAGCTGGAGCTTTGGTCTCCTGCCCTGGAGGGGAAACCGGGGAGGTCTTTACTTGCCTGAATTAAGAAGGGAGTTGACTTGAGTGAGTGAAAGCAGGAGAGAATGCCTGTCAAGACATACTGCTTCTTTGGGCTGAGAGCTTGGTCTCAGAGGGGTAGAAACCTGCCCTTCTTTTGACAGGAAATGGAGAAGGACCAGCAAAAGACTCGAGTTAATAGAGGTGTGGCACTCTGGAGACCTGGAAAATGCTGCTGCTGGGAGAGCAGGGGAGGTGGTGGTAATGTTCTCCTAAGAATGGGCTCTTAACCCATGGATGAAGTCAGCCAAAGAGAACGGGCATGACAGTAGTTTACCCAAAAGTAGCTTAGGCTCGTGAAGATGACCACTGTGGAAAGCTACATGCTCCTTATTGTGCTGAATGGAAATACTTTATTGGGTGCGCTGTATTTATGTAGAACGAGCTAAACTTTGCAGGAGTTTGACTGAAAATACGTAAGTGAACTGCAACAGACCAAGGCTGCCTTGAGCACGTTAAATACTTGTTTGTGGGGGTGTGTTAATAAATAGTGAAAACCACACAGCCTGCCTTCCTGTGCAATTTGTGGGGAAACTATTAGCTTCCTTGCCTCCTGCAGTTTAGCTACTTGGATTTCAAGGCAGACAGTGTTAAGAAGACCAATGCTCTGCTCTAACAGCCAATAACACACAATTGCCATCACCCTCCCTGACAGCAGTGAAAGGAAAGGGGGGAACAAAACAGGGAGTAGAATCTATGCAGGGCCCATTGCCAAGAGAGGGATGTTGCACATAATTACAAAGCCAGCCACATTTGGCAGGAAGGGGCTGTAATTCCCTGGGATAGTGGGTCTGCTTAACCTCCAACTGTGAATACAAAGCCTGAGTCACCAGCGCCCTCCCTGCAGCGTCGTTAGAACCCCTTAATTCTGAACTGTTATTCCTGGTGCATTGCCCTAATTAAAAGGGAGCCTAGAATTCTTTAGGTTCACATAGTAACTGAGGTCCATCTGCTCAGAAAATAAGCTTACTGAAGCTGTCTATAGAGCAGTGGTGCTAAGACGTGCAATCATCTAGACATGGTGGAAACAAACTGTTTGCAGAACACCCCCAGCTGTTTGTATAGGTGGAAATTCGGCGTTCAGCTCCCATTTCACAGGCTCAGAGCTCCCAGGAGCGTAGCAAGGTGGTAGCTGCATGGCCTTACCTGCTGAGCTAATGAGATTCTCCTCAACATCAGCCTCCTGTTGTGGAGAAGACAAGCTGTGCTTGAGGAAACTAGTTTACTACACCACGATGCTGGGAAAGCGTATAAATCACTTGCTCCTTGCAAGTTTGTCACTGCTGCAGTGGTGGCACTGTTGCCCTGGACAGGAATGTAGTTGGGAAGGCAGTGATAGTCATGACTGTAGTCTGCAATAGGTTAATGTCAAGGGGTAAACAGTGCAAGACAGCTGTCAGAGCACTTTTTTTACCATGTATTTTTGTACGCAGGAATGATTTACAGAGCAAGAACTGGGCAGGTACCATCTCATATCTCCAAAGTTCCTTCCCACCCTCCCAGCAACAGTGACAGGGGAAGCAGGGGCTGAAGAGCAGGATTATGAATATAACACCACAAGGCAGAAGAGATGGTCACATTCTTTATTTTCATTTTATTTCTTTAGCCATCAGTAAAGTGAATGGGCAGAAAACAACCAACTGAGCAGACAAACCCACCTTAGCTGGTTATTTCCAAATATAAATAACTGTGGGACAACTGAAATTGAGCCAAAATAGAAAAAGGGAGCTGGGGAATTTAAAAGACAAAAGTAAGCCTAGCTGCACTCCCTTTTCAAAGTTGTCAGTGAAGAGGAAGTACCATAACAAAAAGGAAGCTATGGTTACATTTGATCAGATATTTATTCCAACAGTAGGCATGGAATTGCACTTTCATGAAAATGCCAAAGCTGAATCGAGTCCAGTGCACTGGGGCATTGTGTGCACTTAGCTTGATTTCTGCTGCAGCTCCTTCATTCTGTTCAGGGCACTGCCAGCTTGAAACCACTCTATCTGTGACTCGTTGAAGGTGTGGTTCAGCATGATTGTTTCTTGGCTCCCATTGGGATGCTTGATGACGCATTTCAGAGGCTAAAGGAAGAAGACAGTTTTATTTCCCCCCTTCTCTTTCAAGGGAGCAAGTTAACTGAAGCTTCTCACAGGAAAATTTCTACATGTTTTTAACGGGTTGAAAATGAAAAATTATAGCTCAGGGGGGTCTTAACATAGAAGTGTGGACGCAGTTCCTTCTAGGGAGCACTCATGCTTAAGGCAACAAGTCCAGGAATTCAGAATATTGTACAAGGGTTTCTCGTAACCGTTCAGAATAATGTGATCCGATTCTAACTTGCTCTCTAGCCCCCCAGACCACTGGTGCAAAGTGCCTCATCTGGCTGGCAGGCTGCACTGCCCACGGGTGCCTGTGCTGCTTCGGGCCCCGAGCACACAGCTCGACACTGTTCCCGGTCACTGGCACGTCCCTGTGCCCCGAGTGCAATGACAAGACACCCAGACAGTTACCTTTCCAGGTGCAAAGTCTGCCAGCCCCACAATGCTTAGCTTGTCCACAGGATGAATCTTGTTGTAGTCCGCTGGATCAGCGAAAGTGAGAGGCAGTAGACCTTGCTTCTTCAGGTTGGTTTCTGCGGAGAAGAAACCACACCAAGCACGCTTGTAACAACACGCTGCAGGGGATCAGGATTACCTTCTGGCTGCCTAGTGTTTCTCAGAGTAGTATTCCAGCAACAGTTACTATCTTTGTAGCAAAATTAGCATATCTGCTGTTTGTGGCGTATCTAACTAGATATGTAAAAGCATTCCTGACAAGAGGGACCATGCGATCTGTCAGCATGGTTCATGCCCGTAGTGTTGAGCCCTGGGGCGAGGTGAACACCGCTTCCACCCAAACCAAATACATCCTGTTTACACGCATCACAGGGGAAGTGCGACTCACCGTGGATCCTGGCAAAGCTCTTGGTGATGATGACCCTGCCCCCCAAGTGACGTGGCTCCAGTGCTGCATGCTCCCGGCTTGACCCCTCACCGTAGTTTTCATCCCCGATAACTGCCCATTTGACACCCATTTTCTGTGACAAAAGAAACAGATCTACATTTCTGCAGTCACTCAAGTGAGGAATTAACAATAAATATCCACCCACACATTTAATTTCAGTGCTACACTACTGACATTGCTGTGCTACAAATACCTTCTCCCAGAAGGCTCCCTTTGGTTCTGAGGAAGGACAGAAATAAAGGAATTAAGTACTTCACAGCAGTTAGGCACTGCCATCCTTCACTAATGAGGGCTGAGGAGGATCGCCCTTGGGACCCAGAGCAAATCCTTGCTGCCACCTTTCCGTCCATGGTCCTGTGCCAGAGCAGCGTTCACACCAGCCATGATCCCTGCTCTACTTCTGGAAACAATACAGAAAACTTTCACTTCTGTCTACTGGAATAACAAATCTGAGACCACTGCCATGCTGTCCAGAGGGTGAAAGGACATTTCTTGAGGTTCTAAGCCAAGTTTTAAAGAATGAAAGGGACAAGATCAGAATTTATTTAACCATTACACTAGTCACAGGTGAAACACTCCAGGAGGCAAGATTTAGTTGCAGTCTGATGACACCTGTGCTTTGTAAGGTGTGCAGTGCCTGAAGGAGTTCTTCCCCTTCTGTCTAGGATTTCTGGTCCCCTCTGGGTTACAAGATCCTCCTCCCTCTTCCCCGCCTCAGGTAGGGAGAGAATCTCCTACAGGAACTGCCATCATCAGACTAAGTCCCAAGAAAAAGCCTCAAGGCTGAGTGAAATCACAGCTGCTGTTACTTGAGAGCAGGAGGGTGAGATCCTCAGTCTTGGCACAGACTGCCCAAAGTGTAAATATGCTCTTAAAATAGATGCTTCGGGGGAAAGTCTCACCTTGTAGTAACGGGCTGTGTCTGGGACTGGCCCAAACTCCTGGGTTAATGCATTCCTCACAGAGTTGGCTTTGCCATTTTCAATGTTGATGGCGCCAATGAGCAGGTTGTTGGAGATGTTGTCCAGATGGCCACGGAATTTGAGCCATGGTCCGGCTGCAGAAATGTGGTCAGTTGTGCATTTCCCTTTTACCTAAAGGGTAGTAGAAGAGAAGAATGTCTTAGGATGGATCTGTGACTTGACCCTTCCTCAACACTTTTTATTCTGAAGGATCCTCACATCTCTTTTTTAAGGGCACAAACCCAAGAATCAAGAATGCATCTGTTACAGAATCAAGACACTCTAAGGCAGAACACAGTTGTTCTGCACGCATTGGGTAGGAAGAACATCCCTGTTCCAAAGGGTAAATTACAAAAATGAGCTTAGCCATGACACCTCCTGCCATTTCCTCACTTCCCTCAGCAGCAGGTTCTTCAGGTACAAAAAGGCAATTAAACCCTTCCTGCTGCAGCTCACCTCCCTGCTGGGGGAGTTCAGCAAGATGCCCAGTGTTTCCTCTAAGTTTCCAATCTGCACATAAGCCTTCTCAATTTCTAAGAACAGAATTCCCAACCAGAGATAATGGCCTTTCAACCGGTAAGTCCCAAAGCACTTTCAAAGGAATTGCCTGTGTCAAAAACTCAAGCACAGCTCAGTATGGCCCTTGGGAGTACCTGCAACACTCTGCCACTGAGAATCAGCAATGTTCCTGAAGGTCAGTTCCTAAGGGATTGCATTTCAGAACCCATCACTGTATTAACGGAAGTTTTCATCCTGTTAACTTGCCACAGGCAGTGAGAAGAAACCCATGTCTTCATTAAGAGACTGAAATGCAACATTTAACTATTGTGAAGTAATTTCTCTTTCTATAAAATGGGAAGAGAACACACATACTGATGGATGAGAAGTTCCTAACAACCTCATTTCAGACAAAATGCTTCTTAGAACAGTCAGGTATTAGAGACGCTAATTAACGAACCCATCCACCTTTCCGCTGCAGGTTATAACTGGGACGATTTCTGCAAACTGCATGGTATGGGTAGCATCCTATTACATGGTGTAACAAGCTTCATTTTTCATGGTCTTAGCTAACCACTAGCCCAAAGGAGAAAAGTCTCTTAGTTATAATAGAAAGAAGTATCAGAAGGAAACACCTGGAAGGAAGACCCTTGCTTCACTTTCCATACCAATGTGGTTGTAGGGGAGGGAATCACAGACAGCTCAAAGGCACATCCAAAGCTTCTAGCAATTGATGTGCAAACCCCTGTTCGAGTCCTGTCATAGCCGGTGTTCCCCCACTTTGCTCCTGACCTTGATGAGGATCAGCATGTCTTCTAGATCCTTGCCGTCCCACTTATCGAAGGGCTCAAGAAGCTGGAGGCGCTGGCTGGTGGGACTCACATCCACATGCTGCCCACTGCCATCCTTGGGAGGATACTGATAGGTGTCCTGGCCTGGGTCAAACTCCTTCCGAAGAAGACAGGAAAAATCATCAGCCTCAGCCATCCCCAACAGCACATGAAGAGAACAAGCCAATACAAGCAACTGCACCCGTTCTAGCTTTAACACTAAGGAAGAGGTCAGTGCATCAAAATTCCCTTACGACATACAAAACACTACTAGTAGCAGGCCTTCCCTCCCTCCATCTCCAGACCAAGCAGTTACCAGCTTGGGCAGCTCATCTGCGTCAGGTGCTTCTAGTTTAAACTTCTTCCCATCTGTTCCTGTCAGGTAATCTGTCTCAGGGTTAAATTTTAGAGTGCCAGCAATAGACAGGGCTGTGACAATCTGAAAGAAAAAATGACAAATTTAAAGGCATATTCTACCCCCTATCTCTTCATTTGAAAGTCCTACGCCTAACAGTCGCAAAGCCAGCAGCCAAGCTACAAACCAAGCTACACTGGGTGTCTTCTGCAGGCAGAGGAATTAGCTCCCAAGACACCCTGGACTATTCCACGGCCATCCCTCTTCTTACCTCCGGAGAGGTCACAAATGCATGAGTCTCTGGATTGGCATCATTGCGACCTGTGAAATTCCGGTTGTAAGACGTAACTATTGTGTTTTTCTCTCCTTTCTTGATGTCCTTCCTGTGAAAGAAACAAACATGCTCGTCAAATCCAAAGGGAATATTGCTTCGAGACGTCTTGCTGCTAAAATCCCTCAGCTTGGTTTTGGTAGCAATAACTATCTTTTGGAAACATGAATCGGTGCCTGGACATGTTTTCCTCCCTTAAGTACAGACTCAAAACCAAGAACCGTGCAAAACCCAGTCAGACACTGATTCCTGAAGTAGTTTTCATAGCCCATGTTGTGCACTGTTGAACTGTGTAAACAATAATCAGCTAAGTACATTGCCTCTGGACATCCCACCATTAGCAATGACAAAGCCACACGAGAATATGTCTTCCATCCCTTCCTATGGGAATTTTCCTCCCTGCCACTCCAATGACTGAAGTTGGACCAATTCACTTTTGCTGTTTCAAAAGGACCATACAAACTCCAGTCCACCCTCTCACAGATAACAAATCTCTCTCCCCGTTTTTTGCCTACTATAAGAAGCCTTCAGGCATGGCCGCACTTGTGGCCATTCTGCAGCTTCATTCATCTAAAGGCTCAATATAAATCTGCAGTCTTTCATTTCTCCTCCTCCAGTGCATATCAGACAGCTATGGCCAATGGGTTTTTAAGCATTTATTTTTAATTCCTAGTGTATTATACTTACAATCAAATTTGGCCTCTCAGAGCATTTTAGGAACTAAAAGATACAAAGCTAGAGTGAGGTCCTTTCACTTTACCTGTCCCACTGGCCAATGCACGGCCCACAAGCGTTGGCAAGAACCAGCCCTCCAACATCTCGCAGGATTTGCGCCTGGGGGCAGAGAACAACTTTGTTACTAGTAGAAAGTCTGGAGTAAGTTTCTGGGATTGCTCTTTCAGGGGAAGAGGACATCTGTCTTCTAACAAAGCACCAAGCCTGAGAAAATTCCCCTCCTTGTTTCACTTGCAAGTTTTGAGTCACTTTTATAAATACATGGGGTTTGATCCCAGTAAAGCTTTAAGTTAACACTGGGGAAGAGCACAGGATGACTTGCCATGATGTTCCCATTCTCTACCTACTTCAAATTGAGCAATCCAGCTACTCACAGTTATTTGACTGAAGGGCAGTGGCTGGTCTGGTTAATATCCTACACACTTCCTGCCCATGTAAGGAGAGAATTGGTGAAAATGCAGGCAAGTGTGTCTGTCTGCTGAGCCCATTCAGCAAACAATTCAATTAAGAGGGCACCTGTTAAGGAAAAGTATGACTGCGGACTTGTTGGAGGAGGCATTAAGCTGGACATATCCACACGTAGACTTACATAGTTGGTCCCCAAGCTGTGACAGCATCTAGTATTTACTAAATATTAGAACTAATTAATACATCATCTTCTGGTGCCCACAGAAAATGGGAGAAAGTAGGTGGTGGTTCCTCTACAGAAACACTTCATTTTAATCAAACATGAGTTTTGCCGTAAGTTTAGTCTAGTCTAGAATGGGAACTTCCTTCCTACAGACAAAGAGCTTGCTCACATCCTAAATTGTTCTTAAAGGAGAAAACCGGATTGCAGGTGGGTGCTAGCCCTTCATCAGCCATGGCCACCCACAGAATCCCAGAAGCAAAAGGCATCCCTTGCTATGCATACTGTTATCTCCTCAGGGCCCCAGCTCCTGATAATTATCTCAGCTCTGTCCAGTTCCAATCATGTTCTTATATGCCCAGGCAGTAAAGATATCAGGTCAAAACACTGTCAAGGTAACAGCAGGACGCACAGGTGTAGTAACACAAGACTGGTTGCTACATCATTAATTGTACCTCTAGCAATAAGTGAAGACAAAGTTTAAGAAGTTTCCATTAGTTACCTCTGGACTCTTGAGTACTGTCTGGAAGAGAGTTTAACGCTTACTGTTTGGAAGCGTAAAGAGCAGTCCTACTCACATAACCATCTCTTTCAATGGTGGCACGGATCTGCTCTGAGCCTGGTGTGATTGTGAACTTAGATTTGCACTTCAGTCCATGTGCTAGTGCCTGTTTTGCCACCGCTGCAGAGCGTCCCATGTCCTCATAGCTGGAGTTGGTGCAGCTGCCAATCAAGCCTGTGGTGTTTGACAGAAATAGGGAGGTGGTTACTGCAGCTCCCCGGTACTAGGAATCTTCTCACTGACTCATCCCTCAGGAGAAAAAACAAGGGACAACCATGTTTTCTGCTGACAAGGAATCTGAAACTGTTTCAGGTACTAACACTGCCAAGCCTCCCAGCAAGATACTGCAGACACAAGCAATCTCTTCTCTGGCTTTAGAAGTTGCACAGTCAGAACACACTACCTGGTCACTGGTCACTAGTCTGGTTACTGTTTTACAAGATCAGAGTGCCACCTACTTGCACTTTGGTTAAGCAGATTTCTACAGAGAGGTATTGTTCCATGAAGACAGAAAAGGCTTCAAATCAAGATGGCAAGAAATGGAGGAAATGATGAAAAGAAAGCATCCTTTGTTACAGTACAAAGACCACATGAGGATATACTATACTGTCCTGACAGCATTCTGGTGCTAACCAGCAAAAAATAAATTCTCTTTCAGTTACAGCTGCTCTTGATCCTATTTGTAGCACCATCGAATAATACATTTCCCACCTGGGATGTGGCCTTTACAACTTATTTGGATTCCTTCCATTCCCCCAGTGAGCAACACTTGAGAAGCCAACTGACAGGTTACCATCCCACAAGTGAGTATGTAAGTATCCAAATCTGCTCTTTAGGACAGCAAGCACTAACTTTACTACGTCCCAAGAGATCAACAGCCAACTGCTGGGAGGACTGACAATCAATGCTCCTGGCTCCTGACAGATCTTTGCAACAAATCCATGAAGCAGACTTTTAACAAAGGTGCTCTTTAACAGGTAACATTCCTGTCAGCCCAATCATTCAAAAGTTTCCAAGAAGGAAAAAAAACCTTTTCTGCCTCTTGAGATTAAAATCCCTCCAACTATCCCACATCTCATGCCACACACCTGGCCCAGGTGGTCACTACTCTTCCCAGCAAATTCATACAGCCATGAAGAGATGACACTGCAGCAAAGTCAAAGGACATAGAGCAGTAATTAAAGGATCGGATCCCAAGCTATGTGACCAACTGCTTATCCCAAGACAGCAACATTTATGCCACACGGATGAAGGCAGAGGAAAGAGCAAATGCTACCCACCAACTCTGATATCAACAGGCCAGCCCTCCTTTTCTGCCACAGCACCAATATCTGACACAGGGTGCGCCAGGTCTGGTGTGAAAGGTCCATTGATATGCGGTTTCAGCTTTAAGAAACAGTGACAAAGTCAGAAATTACAGTAGCCAAGAAAAACCCCAAAACACAGCAGCAAATCAATTCCTTTCATAGCTCTATCTAGAAGCTGTTTAAATAGGATTCTCCTACATGAATACAGGAGCAGGAGTTGTCAGTGAAGCAGACCTGACTGTTTTTTTTATGTTCTAGCACAGCGCCAGGGGTGTCCCATCAAACTCCCAGCTTGGTCCTCATTCACACAAAGCACAGTCACATCATAACATCCAAGATGGCAAGCAGGAAGGAAGCCTTACCTCACTGAGGTTGATTTCTATCACCTGGTCATATTGACAACCAGAATCTGGTACCAAGTGTTGCTGGAATTCATCTGCCAGCGCAGCTATGTCTGGAATAAGAAAGAAGGGAGATCTGAAAAGTGCGGCAAATATGAGGGAAAAGAAGAAGCTTGGAATGGCTAAACACAGGGTGTCCACTGTATACTTCCCCAGCCACTTCATCTATAGACTCCCCACTTGTATCAGATGACCTATGGGACCCGCAAGGTCAGAAATCACATCAGACACCATTGTAGGAGGATGCTGCTCCCAGAATACACCTTCACTTGAACCCACACTTCTACCTACTTCAATCCCCAAACCCTCTTACCAGCTCGCCCAGTCTTGCCCAAGTATTTCTTCATCCGTGCGTTGTAAGGGAAGACCGATGTGGTAGCTCCAATTTCAGCCCCCATGTTACAGATCGTTGCCATTCCTAGAGAAGGAGTGGGAGAAGACACCACAGGGTCAATGAGAAAGTCCAAGGCCATCCAATTCTTCAAAAGTTAGTCCATGGAAAAGACAGCAAAGCCAAGAAAGATCAAGGCATTAGCCACAGAAACCCAATTCCACAGCAGAGAGCACACACTGCCTACATAATGGCTGTCTCAGCCCCTAATGTTTCTGATCGATACAGTGCCTGCGACCAGACTTTTCTGCAAGGAAGGAGCTGAAAGCTACACTGATTCTTGCAGATACTGGAAGGAATGACAGGGAACCCCCTGTCTGCACTGAGCACCAAATATATTTACAGCAATGAGCAGTGCCCCTGCTACCTGCAATGAGTGTCCTGTCCCCCCCTACCATCTCATTTATATTTACTGGAAGAGCCAGAAATTTGTGAGAAATTCAGTGGGTTGAATAAAAAGCTTCCAGTGACGGAACACAATAAAAAAAAATTTGCTCATGGCACTGGGATCACCCATGCCTTTCAAGGACACAGCAATGAAGCTGTAGAAGCTGCTGGTTTACATTTAACGAGCTAGAAGCAGATATCACAGGTCAAGTTCCTCTGATTTCACAGAAGAAAAATCCCAAATTGCTCTCAGTTTGTAAAACCAAATATTCCAAGTTGTAGCCAAGCCGTGCAAATGGAGAAGAGAAGCCCAGCTTGAAGGCTGCACTTCAAGCCAAAGGAAAGGATACTTCTTGTAATTTGGTCCTAATCATTACAGACAACTGCAATTTTTGCTAGTTCAAATTCAGCACCCAAGACCCACAATTAGCTAGTGTAAGACTGCATGTTACAAACTCCTGCTTTCTGGTCTCCCCTTCGCCCTGCTTTTCTAAAAAGCTTTTTATTTAGCAGCTGTCACACATGTCCCCCCTTCAACCTGTTTCTTTCCTCTATCCACAGCCTATTTTAGGCTGCAATGAAAATGTCATCCTTTATCTCTGACATCTCCACCCTCTAAGCGTATGCCGGAATACCTCCACCCTTACTCTTATCCTGACGCACCATCTTACAGGATTCTTCACAATTAACCATTCAGTGTTCTCAAAGTCACAAGAAGATTTAATGGAGAGAGGTCACTTTTTCACTGAGAGGGAGTGCTATCTTGTTACACCACTCTCACCCACTCTCCCAGTTTGCCATGTACTAATCATCCAGCCAGGCTAAGGGAGAACATTTAGCACTTCTTGCCTGATTCCCTTCCCAGCCTCCACAGACAACTCAACACCCAACTCCAAAAACAATCCACTCCAGGTAAGAGATTCATGTTGTCTTACCAGTGCAAGAGATCGAATCCACACCAGGCCCATGGTATTCGATGATGGCACCTGTTCCACCCTTGACAGTGAGGATGCCAGCCACTTTCAGGATCACATCTTTAGGAGAACTCCAGCCTGAAAGCTTGCCAGTCAGTTTTACACCAATAACCTGAGCAACATTAATGGGGGAAAAAAAAAACCAAACTACACACTGACACCATTTCCTTTCAACAGCCAAAACAATTTCTCAGAATTTTTCCTAAAAATCTGGGTGGCCACAATACGAAAAGGGAGAAAATCCTGAAGTATCAGAACATGTGCACAAGCGCTGAAACCACTAATAGGGCCAACTGAAGGGAGATCACTACTCACCTATCGCTCTCAGTCCCTGAATAAAAAGGCTGGAAATGGAAACTCAGAGCTGCCAATGAGTGGTGTCCCAGAGGGGTCCGTATTGGGACCGGTACTGTTT